CCCTTCGTCTCCGGCACCTTGAAGTAGGTGAAGATGAAGAAGAGGACTAGCAGCACCGTGAAGATGATGAAGACATACGAACCGCAGAGTTGCTGGGAAGGAGGGGAGAGGAAGGGTGAGTGCGTGGGCGATGGTGCTCAGGGGACCCCCACACCACCCACCCTGCCCAGCAGGTCCCAGGTCTGGTCTCCCCGCTGACAGATCTCCAGTTGGAGGGGATCCATCATCCCTCGATCCCAGCCCCATCCCTCTTCCCCTCGCCCAAGCAGAGCCCCTCAGCCCCAGTTTCAGGGCTCCAGAGGAGTGGGGCAAGGCAGGGCCCCGGCCCCATCCCGGCGAGAGGTGGGATGCTCACCGCGATATACTGGAAGCCCATGCCCACAATGAAGTTGGAGGTCCAGTTGGAAAGCCCGGCAACGGCGAAGGCAGCGGGACGAGGCCCTTGGCTGAACAGCTCTGCCACGATGAACCAGGGGATGGGGCCTGGACCGATCTCAAAGAAGGCCACAAACCCAAAGATGGCCACAATGCTGATGTAGGACATCCAGGGCATCTGGTCCTGATCCAAGGGAGAGAGAATGTCAGGTCGGTGGGATGGACAAACCATCCAGCTATCCCAGATGGAATTCAGCCCAGTGTGCTGCTGGCAGAGAAGCCACGAAATTTCTCCAGAGCAGAGACTGGATTTCTGGGACCTCACGAGACTTGGGCAGCAGGGACAGCTCAGCCGCCACCTCCAGGAGAACAAGGCTTCCCCCGCCCCAGCCAGAGCTCCTCCTGCAAGCCCCACGGCGCAGGGCAGGCGTGGGACCTCCTTCAGCCCACCCGTCCCCTCGGGGCCCATCACTCACCAGCAGCGTCAGGGCAATGGTCATGAGCACCGCACACCCCGCCATCCCTGCCAGGCCGATGAGGTGGAGGGTCCTGCGTCCGGCTCGTTCCACCACAAAGAGCTGTTGGGTGCAGACAGGGGGCCATCAGCACATCCCCGGCCCAGAGGAGAGCCCTCCCCCTTCCCACCACCTCCCCAGCAAGGGCTCAGCGGGCCAGAACTCACCGAGACAACCGTGAACGCGGTGTTCACCACCCCGGAGCCGATGGTGGCGTAGACGGGCTGCTCCACACCGGACTTCTCAAAGATGCTGGTGGAGTAGTAGAAGACCTACAAAGGGCAGGGCCGTGCCATGATGAAAGGAGTCAGGTCTCTGTGCCAGCAGGACCCAAGCTCCGGGTGAAACGAGCCACCCCAGAACTCACCGCGTTGATGCCCGAGAGCTGCTGAGACAGCTGCAGAACGATGGCGATGAGGATGGGCTGGCGATACATGGGGGAACGGAAGAGCTCCATTATGGTGACCTTCTTCTCCCTCATCATCTGCCGGCTCTCCTCCTTCATCTCCTGGAGGTCGCTGCTGACGTCTGTCGTGCCCCGCAGCTTCTTGAGGACTAAGGGGAAGAGGCGGAGTCAGGAGTAGCCGAGGACCCTTCAGCAAGGTGGGACAAGCTCGGGCCGGGCGTTACTCATAGAATCATAGAATCACAG